GTTGATAAAATAGATCTTACAAAGTCCAAATAATAATACTTTCTAACAATTGACTATAATTCTTTATTCTGTCTATTGTTTTAGACTGTATAATGTCCCCAGATGTCTTTATTTTATCGTTATATTTTGGTTGCTGTCTCATTGTCTTATATCTACGTGTCAATTATTTATATAAATATGAAAGGAATAAGACAATTTAGATCGAGTGAATTACTTGGACCAATATATTAATATGCATGTACATGTAATATAATTATCGTTTGTCATTTACTAAAGCTTGTCCTTTTATGTTTATTTAGTTGATTATTTTTGACGGGATGCTGCCTACTTTGTTGTTCCTTCTTATATACGTCAACTAAGTCTTTATGATTTGTTAAGTAAATAATTATATATTAAAATAATTAGTTTCTTTAAGTAGATTTACACAAAGACTAAACGATAAAGATAATATAAAAAAGATCAAACTCAGAAAAAATAATTAAATGATATATATGAAATCGATAGATGGTGACTCCAATCGATCGGAAGTAGTTTTTGGAAATAAATGAAGTCACATTGGACGTCGATTAGAGGGTAAAATTATTGGACACTGATTTGAGATCTTGACTTTAAATTGGACGTCGATTTGAGGAACGGACGTTAATTAGAGACTGGACGTTGATATGAGTCTAACATATATATACTTGTTTCTCAATCCTAAATTCATAACTTGAAGAAAAGATTATATAAACAACACAATGGTCTAATATTGTATATAAATACAAAGCTATTGCAGTATTAATGGCAAAAAAAAAAGAAAAAGATGGCCCACTATTAGATGTACCACAACTTTCAAGAGAAAATCTACGTAGCTTTGAAAAAGATTTTGTTTTGCAAAATTAAGGCATGATTCAAAATTGTTTTGAATTTGTCACTATCAGGATGGTTTACTTTAAACCATACTTTGTGCTAGACCGTCACGCTTTTTTCTAATTTAAACATGCTAGTTCAAAAGGTAATAGTACGCAAGAAAACATGTAATTCTCCTAGGATTAATTATTCGGTCTCTTAGCCAATCAATCTTTGGTTTTACTCCTTGATGCTACTTACTAACAAAGAGACGGAATCTACCAAAGAGGCATTTAAAACCCATAAGTCGAGAGAAACCAACAACGTCATGGCCAAACACGAAAGATGAAGAAAAGACAAACACGTTAAAAAAACACTACGTAAAATTATACGTAAAATTATACACTGAACAACGCGAACTCAACTAAAAACTGAGGGTGATCTCAGATGACCCTGAAGGGTAACAAGCACAGAGTATAACATTAAAGACGAAAGCTAGATCAACACGAACCCATTTTAAAAAAACAAAGATGATATCAGGTGTCCCAGAAGGTTAAGCAGTTCCTGCTCAACTAGTGAAGGCACCCGTCATGTTGTTCATGGTAAGTACAAATTCGATGATGAGTCTCTTTCGGTTATAATACATTATCCGTACAACTTTCCAAGGGATGACTTAAACTTTACCACCTGGAACACTTGGTTCCTTGTAAGTAGCACCCTCTTTCTAGGAAATCACGATAGAAGACACGAGCTTTGGATCACCTTTTGAACTAGGAGATATATACTCAATTCGAAGGCACTCCTGAAATGTTTCTACATAGAAACGGAAAGTTCATTATTGGAAAGCTGAATTCATCCTTTGTCGTAAAGTTTTGTTCTCAACCGACATTTGTTGTCAATGTATAGATGTAATCCAAGCTATGAGTCGGCCTTAACTGCATCTGTTGTATCCAATATTTCAAGTTGTATGGGATAGATGCTTTCAACATAGTCACCAAACTTTAAAACATTTTCTGAGAGGACAACCTCATGATAGCGGAAAATTAGGTTTAAGGACACTACAGCTTCTTGTAATTTTTCCCGAAAAATTCTCTATAAGGTCTGCCACCTATGAATAAAGGAACAAATGAGCATGAATAGGAGCACAGTTGGTTCACATAGGAATGCCGATTGTTCGTTGAAAAACAAGTCCTACAAATGTCAAAAATGTTGTCCATAAAAAAACAGCCTTCTTCATGATATCAGTCTCAGAGAATGTTTTGTTTAAATCAGAGTGTGTTAAGTGTTTTTTGTTTTTTGTTTGTTATTTTAAATGACAATTTTTCAAATCTTTGGTTTGATCCAGCTGGTTTTTGAGCTTGAAGTTGTGAATGAAATGATATTATTTTGCCTAATATTTTAGAATAGAAAAGTACAAACATAGAAGTTAAAAGAACGATACGCTGTGATAATTGCACTATTATAGCTGTTAACAAAAGTGCAGATCAGAACTGTAAACGAGACAAACCATGAATAACATACGATTGTAAAATACAGTTGAAGAACTAATAACGAATAAAGTATTGAAAGCAAGCCAGTATTGCTCCTTTATTGTGTAAACTTTTCAAATTAATTTTAGGCACTGGATTTTTTCCAGAGCTCTTGGTGAAAAGTACAATAGTGCTGTTATTCAAAAGAGTCCCGTTAATGATCCTAGAAATTACCAAGCTATATATAGGAAAACTTTTTACAGCTACTATCAATACCAGACTGTTGAAATGGAGCGAGGAACACTGTATTATCTACGACTAAGTTCGGACTTAGACCTGGCCATAGAACTCATGATGCAATCTGTGCTATGCATTCCATCATACCAAAATCGTTGCGAAACTAAAAAAGCTTGCTTTATTGAATATTAAAAGACTTTTGGTAGTGTTATGGCTGCAATTAGCTAAATGTGGTATAACTGGGAAACTGTTTTGACTTTTTTTTTTTTTTTGATATACGGTTAATTGGTATAATCATGGAAGTATTATATTGACATGACTTCCTTGGTCTAATGCAAGGATAATCCTTATCACCTTTTTATTTGCTATCATGTATGACCTGGTTCATGTATGTCAACGAAAGTATAATTGATGTTAAAAAATGATAGATGTTGTTCATATATGTTCTGAAGGGAATAATTTGATTAAAATCAAAACAAGTATGCAAAAAACTAAGATTGTTGTATATAGAAACAGAGATGTCATCAAACCTGATGAAAAATAGTTCGTTAATGGAGAGTTTATTGAGCTATGTGATGATTTTTTATATTTTGGTATGGTGTTTAATTACAATGGTATTTTTTACTAAAACTCAGAAAATGCTGTCAAATCAAGCATATAATCAGGCATAGTGAACTATGGTAGAGAAGTACGGGATATCATAAAGCAATTGACATTGAAGTTTGTCACTTATATTTTCGAAGAGAATTTTGAAAGTAAAAAAAATTCTACAAATAACATGGTGTATTTTGAACAATGTAGAGTTATATTGTATGTACAGAGGTATTTTGTAATGATGAAATATTGGTGTAAATTGTTGAAAACTGGCAATTGTATTCTGAAAAACTGTTATGAAAACTGTATGCAGAAAAGCAACAGGCTATCTATGTAAAAAGTAAAAATAGTTGTAATTTGGTAATGCAAAATAAGAGATTTTTTATGTTATGATGGCTTCAGTAATGTATGGTTGACACTAGACTGGTACCCGGCCGTTATTTGACAAGCTTGACAATACTTGATAATACTTGTATATTTTCGAAGGATACTGAATATTTTACGGAGGGAACCAACCTAGGTTGACACTAAATGTTTTGAATGAAAATGTTTTATAGCTAAGTTCAAACAGCGTGTGTCTTTTTTAGGGGTCCTCTAAATGTCAGTTTTACAAATACATATGTTAGACTGAGATCGACGTCCGATATCTAATCGACGTCCGTTCCTCAAATCGACTTCCAATGTGACGTCACATTCTTTAATAAGTGTCCAATATTTTTACCCTCTAATCAACGTACATTGTTACGTCATGTATTACCAAAACAACTTCCGATCGATCAAAGTCTGCTCTAATCGATGTCTAATATCATTTAATGATTCGTTCGATCCTTTTTATCATTATTTATATAAATCTAAAATGAAACTGGACCTTTCAGTTTTAAGTAATGGACATTGAAAAAGAAAATGATTTCATCCTCAACAATGTCATTATTACATAATTTACAAAATATTTTGTCTGGGGTATTCCTTTGTGTCTTCCCTTTTCTATTTCAAGTTCATGGACACTGATTCTAAATTTGGTTAACTCATTTATTGTTTTACAATTGTTTAAAAGTAAATATTACCAATATTATTTTTAAGTAGTCTATAAGTTCGTAATTTATTTCCTTGGACCATGCCAAGTTTGTTATTATTTAATTGATTGAACCAAATTTCGTCATATTTAATTCTGAGTAATTTAATGATAATTGACTTTATATTAGATAAAATACATTTATTAAAAAAAAACAGTCGCATGAGCAGATACGAGTAGTCTTTCAAACTTGTCTGTGTTCTTTCACAAGTGGTCCAAATTGTCTTTCAAACTGGCCTGAGTTGTCTTAAAAGTGGCCCGAGTTGTCTTTAAAGCTGGTCCGAGTTGTCTGTAAATTGGTCCGAGTTGTCTTGGTCCGACTTGTTTTCGGTCCAAGTTTATATTCTTCTTCTTCTCTTTTTCCGCCAGATAATGGCCACAATCAACCAACTGATTACACTGCCATATTCTTCATGATCCATATAAAAAGATTCTAAACAAATGCTTCTCAGGTTTGGAAACTTTTGTTATAAACAGATATGCATTATTTAAACCATAGATATAATAGATATCTATGTTTAAACATGGATTCAAAACATACATTGTGAGGAAAATTCAAAACGGAAAGTCCCTAATCAAATGGCAAAATCAAAATCTCAAACATATCAAACGAATGGATAACAACTGTCATATTTCTGACTTGGTACACGCATAGTCCCGCATACTATTGTCTATGACACAAAAATAAAATTGTGTCGAAAAAAAGAGGACGAATTAGTTACAGGCTTCCTATTTTACGACTTCTGGTTTATTTACACAGACAATGCCATACTTAGCTTGATCTTTGGTGGGGTAAATAATTAGGAGATGGCTACCAGGTAATTGGATTTAAAATTTACGGTAAAAAGTGACAAGTCACCAACAAACAGGTGGTTGTTATCAAAATAGAAGCCTTAATCTGTAACTTCATAGACAATTTCGTGAAAAAAACAAGAAAATGCAGTCCGGGGAAGTTAAAGTAGCAGAAGATAGTGACTTCAAACGATTCATTGAACTATGTGTTGAAACTGAGGGATGGAAACAAGAATACAATAAACGGAACACATCTGTACATACAAAAATAAATGACGTTTCAGATTTTAAAATGTTCAAGGTAACAGAAAATGTTTCTAAATTAATAAACATGAATAAGACAGCAAGTTGCTAATTTGATATTAGAACTGACTGAGATGTTAAATGTTAGTTATAGTATACACGAACTCAGTAACTGGTACCTTTCCTAAAACTTTTATTGTTTTAACACAAGGTACACAACTCACATCTTCTGCTTCTTCCATATACTGCCCACATTCAACTTTCTGAATATACTGGCAAATTGGTTCTGTATGGTTAAAAACAGGATAAAAACAAATGTTCATCTCTATTTTGTAAGGTTAGTCATTTGAGATTTGAATGTCTCAAATGACTGTGCTGTGGCGATCTCCGGGGGAAGCTTGTTCCAGTCTTTGGTGGTGTTCACAAAGAAGAACCATTTCCTGCAGTCTTTGGTTGCTGTGTGTACCATGTATCCATGCTGTTGTGTATGTCTGGATACTCTGGTTGGTCTTTGGAGGTACATGTCTTTGTTGATGGCTACTTTGTCGTTGACGATCTTGTACATCATTGCGAGCCTGGCCTCTCTGTGTCGTTCTTGGAGACTTTTCCAACCAAATTCATTAATCATGTCTGTGACACTTGATCTGTTTCTGTTGCGCTTGGTGACGTATCGCGCAGCCCTCCTTTGAACTTTTTCAATTTGGTCAATATGTTTCTGATAATATGGGTCCCATACTGTTGTGGCATATTCTAGTTGGGGCCTTACTAGAGTTTTGTAAGCTTGCTCTTTGATGCTTTAAGAGCCGATGTGTAGATTTCTGTGGAGGAAACCAAGGCTTCTGCTGGCTTTGCTGGTAATGTTGTTGATGTGTTCTCCCCAGTCTAGTTCGCTTGTGATGGTGCAGCCCAGGTACTTAATTGATGTTTCAAGTTTTAGTACATGATCATGTAATACATAGTCCCATTTGATTGGCTTTTTCTTTCTGGAGACATTCAGTACGCTACACTTTTCTGGGTGAAACTCCATCTTCCACTTTTCCTCCCATAGTGCCAGTTTATCAAGGTCTGACTGTAGGTGTCGGCAATCAGTATCCGAGGCGATGGTTAAGTAGACTACTGTGTCATCAGCAAAGAGACGAATTGTTGATTTTAGGTCATTCGCTAGGTCATTTATGTAAAACAAAAATAGACTAGGGCCTAGGACTGACCCTTTTGGAACTCCAGATTCTACCTTTGCTCTGTCTGACTGTTCACCCAGATACTACTACTACTTGGCTTCTTTTTGTCAGGAACGCTTCTATCCAGCTGTTGGTCTTTTCCTTGATTCCATAGTGATTGAGTTGATGTAGGAGTAGGCTATGGGATACCTTGTCGATTTCTTTTGAGAAGTCTAGTATCAGTAGGTCAGACTGTTTTCCCAATTCAAGGTACTTTGTTAGGTCATCAATGCATTCTAAGAGTTGCGTCTCGCAGGATCGTTTACTTTGAAATCCATGTTGTAGTGGATAAAGGATGTTGTTTACCTCTGCATGGTTTCATAATGTGGCTGGTAACAATATGTTAGATGATCTTGCAGCAAATACATGTAAGAGATATTGGTCTGTAATTTGCTTGGATGTACTTTTGACCCTTTTTGTGTGCTGGTGTGACTGTTGCTGTCCGCCAGTCATCTGGAACTTTGCCTGTCTCCATTGAAACATTAAATATGATGGTAAGTATAGGAGCGATTTCGCTGGCAAGTTCTTTGAGTATCATTGGTCTGATGTTATCTTGTCCAGCGGCTTTGTGTGGGTTAAAGTTTCTCAATTGTTTTTCTACTCCGTTGATTGTGATAAGGATGTCTCTACAGTCAGGGTAATTTTCTGGTGAGTTGGACATATGATTTTGATTGTAGAATTCACTGTTGCTGATGTTGTTTGCTGTGGAAAATACAGATTGAAATTGTTCATTTAATATGTTTGCTTTGTTGATTGGATCTGTTTCTAAGCTACCATTTTTTCCAAGAGGTGCCACTCCACTTTTATCACTTTTTCTGTGCTTGATGCATGTCCAAAATCTTTTAGAAGGGGCATGTGTTTCTTCAGGTTTCTCTGGGGTGATGATATTTTCAATATACTTCCAATATGCTTGTCTTAGGCTTTTCTGTGCTGTCTTTTTCAGTTCTTTAAATCTTGCACAATCGTCAGGATGGTTTGATTTCTTTTTATTTTTATATGCTTGGTCTTTTCGCCTTATGAGTGATTTTATTTCCCGTGTAATCCATGGGTTCTTATCTTTGGTCTTACAGGTTTTCTCGCCCCAAATTGACAATGTTGTATGTGCCGTGAGTTTTCATTCTGTTTTCCAATTGGTCAACACATGCATAACATGCATGGTCAATCTTTTTACTAAAAATAAAGCTTTCAAAATTTCCTGCTTTATAAATTCTAATTACATTGTACACTTTGCGTCACTTTTAAGACCAGAAAAGTGTTTCTGTATTAGGAAATCTATCTGGCCATAAACATGTAATAGATCTTCTAAACTTCATTATTTTTAATCGGACATATGAAAAAAAATATAACAAAAAATACCAAACTTATATACCCTGCAAGTCCTGTCTTGTTATTAAAGTGGTCTACAAGACAGTTTTGGAAGCCCTGGTTTTAAACCAAGACCCAGGGGCACTGTAAGCCACTACTCTACCATGTATAATAACAAGACTTTAGGAAGCAGTTAGTGCAGCTAATGGAGGTCGGTTATATACCTGTATCTAGGCCAAGGAAAGCACTGAACATTACATAAGCATAAATCAGTCAATACCAGTTTTGATACCTTTAATGTTTTGTACATGGCTATTCTTTACCAACTTTGAATGGATCTGTTTCAATCAGTTTGTCAGAATCATGAATCACAGGTTAACAATATTATGGCATGTAAAAATATTATATCTGTTTATCTAAATATATTTTTATAGATAAAGACCACATATACAGATGTTACAGCAGAAGTATTGTATGATGTACTCCATGATCCAGAGTATAGAAAAGTATAGGACCATTCTATGGTGGAGGGCTATGAGATTTGTTGTATAAACCCAAACAACGACATTGGGTATTATTCAAGTAAGTGAATATCTTAGAACAAAGCATAAACATGATAAATCAGGCCACCGTGCATCAGCTATCTCTTTTCAGGCCAGTGCCTTTTATAGCCTACTGAAGGAACTGAGTTTTGCTCAATTGTTTTAGCCCAGACACTAAACCACAAGTGCTTTTAAAAATCTTCAACATTTGGTCACTGGTGGATATATAGAAGTGAGAATTAAAAAGTACAGGTTCCAGCCCTGGTCGGAGAGGAAGTACACGTATAGCATGTATAGAACAACAATGTAGAATCAGATCTACTAAAACATTGTCTAGGCACTTTATAACAAAATAAACTGCAATCTACAGTGTAGCATGATTCAGTGAATCGGTGATTAATTTTTTCTATGAAATCAAAAAATTGAAGGAAGAAACTATCATTGTCTCAAAATCGAAATTTAATCATATGTTACAAAAAATTGTTGATTTTGAAATAAAACCATTGAAAAGGAGAGTTGAACAATTGGAAATTGATAGAAATCATTTGATGGAGAAAGTAGACAGCCTAGAACAGTACGGTAGACGCTCTCTTTTACGTGTGTCAGGAATACCAGAAAGTGCTGGCAAAAACACAGACCTCATTGTACGATCGCTATTTAAAGAAATCGATCCTGACTTTAACGATTTAGATGTCGAAATGACTCATCGAAATGGCCCTCTATCACCGCCTAATTCAAATACACCTACAGACGATGTTGCAGATTGCTCCGAAAAATCAGCTGAATTCATCACCACAGACACGGAACAAACATATGATAACAACAAAACGAGATCTAAGCAAAAACCCAGACAAATCATGGTACGGGTAATAAATCCTAACACAAAGATTAGAATCCTGAGATGTCGAAAACACCTCAAATCGTCCAGGAATTTTAACAACGTTTATATTAACGAAGACCTGACCAAATATAGGAACAGACTGTACTACCACAATAGATGCCTTACCAAACAAAAAGGTGCAAGACAATGCTGGACTGTCAATGGCAAGATCTATTTGAAAGAGACAAACGGTACATTTTATTACATGTATATCAACACTGCACTTCAACGAAGCAGTTATCAAGGCAAAACTGGATTACGAGTATCTCTCAGTCGACATGTTTATGAATCCAAGTTATTAACACTCAATAAAATTTTCTTTAACTTTGAGATTGACTGCATTTACAAAGTAAATTAATGTGACTTATTATTCACTAGACTAACTTTGTACTATTTTTCCTCTTCTGTATCTTAAGTACCAGCAAAGAACCGACATATCATATTTATCTGATAGCATTTAGTCAGTTAATTGGTATGAGACCTAATCATGTATTTTTCTTCTTTTTATACATAATTATGATATGTTGAATACCGGCAATAAAAACTTAAAAATCATTAATGTCATTGTCCACTTATTAACTTAATTTAACTATACGTCAACAGTAACTAAGAATGAAATAGAAACGTCCCAATTACAATGACCTTATTTATTTGCCAATAGTAAAACTTGTACTATGACCTAATTATGGTAGACGAACTATCTGCACATGAGCAGACTGTGAGAAAATACCAATAAGAAATTTTGTAGTAGCCAATCAAAATGAACTATTTATAAACCATAACAATCGACAATGCAAATATTTTTTTTTTCAATCTTTTCGGAAATTTATAAATTTTATTTCATCGTGACAACTTGGATAGTATTTGCATGTGTGTGCGTACTATATAGATGTTTATGTATAAGTATACATCGTGTCCAGATAAAAAAAAATGGCCTAGAATAATTTGTATATGCATTACGACAATAACAAAATAAGTGTTTTTTAACCGGATTTTCGAAGAAAATATCGGTTATTAAAATGGTGATATACGGCGGGCGGCTGGGCGGTTCTACGGCGGCTGCCAAACAGTGTCAGCACAATAACATTAAAACGCTTTAACAAATTTTTTTCAA